CGCACTCCTGACAATCGACCGATCTGCTACGCCTGCGGTACTCCAGGACACGTGGCACGATATTGTGCCGTCGCTTCCAACCACTCCACGACGCTACTCGGCCGTTACCGTATGACCCACAGCCCAAGCACATACCTGCACCCTATCCCTCACCGCAGTATGGATGCACTAACTTTCCTGAGTCTCGGTCACACCAGCCTCAAACTCACTCTCCCCGCTCCCCATCTCCTCGCAGGCGATCACTGTCCCCAATGCGTCTTAGACCCGCTTCCTCCAACCGGGAAAACTGAACGCCGCAGTTCCAGAGTCAAGAACTGCGCCGTCGTCGAAATGCTCAAGTCCTCGCACTTCACCAGCTAACGTCGTCGCTATATCTGTCGATAGTGTTTCTACCTTTGCCCTCGTCGAAACAGGTGCTGCCGTTTCTGTTATAGCCGCCCAGCTCTGCCGCTCCCTACGCAAAGTGACCACGCCGCTCTCTGGACTATCGCTTCGTACAGCTAGCGCACAACAAGTTCGACCTCTTGGCACCTGTACGGCCCGCATATTCATCCAAGGCTCTATGTACGTTGTCGAGTTCATCGTCCTTTCGGTGTGCTCGCATGACGTTATCCTCGGGTGGGACTTTCTGTCAAATCATCATGCCATCATCAACCGCGCACGCGCTGAAGTTCAATTTTCGCACCTGTGTGACGAACCTTTGCACGAAACCCTTGAGCGGTCGCCAAAACTTGTCGTGCGTGAGGACACTGAAATTCCGCCAGCCTCTCTTGCCGTTGTCCCGGCTTGCTGCGATGACTATAACGATGCTACAGTAATGTTTACACCTTCCGACATTTTCATGAGCCGCAGAGCCGTTTCCTTGCCTTTCGCTACACTCGACGTCACTGCGGGCCGAAGCAATATTTTCGTCCACAACCCCCTTTCTGCACCGCTTACGCTACTTGCCGGCGAATGTCTCGGTCGAGTGGAGTACCTCGATTCCTGTTGATTCCTTAACATGCCAGACAAATTGTGCAGTAGCGCCTCGACCGAACTTCATGCCCTTTCCCCACTGGAGTGCTCATCGAGTGACACCTTCTCGAGTTCCATCGCCGACACCTTAAGTGCCCATGAACGCGCCGAGCTTCTTAATCTCCTCCAGCACTTCGCCAATTCATTCGACGTTTTTCAGCCGCAATTGGGTCGGACTTCCTCAGTGCACCACTACATTGACACCGGTTCGCACCAGCCATTGCGTCAAAGACCGTACCGTGTCTCTGCTGCAGAACGTCACGTCATCAGCGACCAGGTCGAAGAGATGCTACGCCGTCGCGTTATTCGACCATCGCACAGTCCTTGGGCATCTCCTGTCGTTCTAGTTCGAAAAAAAGATGGATCGATTCGATTTTGCGTCGACTACCGGCGATTAAACAAGGTGACGCGGAAAGACGTCTATCCATTACCGCGCATAGACGACGCCCTTGACAGCCTACAAGGAGCTGAATTCTTCTCCTCCTTAGACTTACGATCTGGATACTGGCAGGTTCCTATGGCAGAAGCTGATCGCCAGAAAACTGCGTTCATTACACCAGATGGCCTGTACGAATTCAACGTAATGCCATTTGGTCTTTGTAATGCTCCTGCCACGTTTGAACGGCTCATGGACAACACACTGCGTGGACTGAAGTGGTCTGTGTGTCTATGCTACCTCGACGACATTGTCGTTTTCTCTCCCGATTTTCCTACGCATCTGCTTCGGCTCCAACTGGTTCTGACGTGTTTAACCAACGCTGGGCTCCAACTGAACCTTAAATAGTGCCGCTTCGCCGCGCGAGAGCTGTCCATCTTAGGGCACATCGTCTCCAAGCATGGTGTTCGACCCGACCCTGCAAAACTGCGAGCAGTCGCTGAGTTCCCGAAACCTACTACACTGAAAGAATTACGCAGTTTTGTCGGACTATGTTCGTACTTCCGGCGCTTCGTGCGAAATTTTGCATCGATCATGTCACCACTGACCAACCTCCTACGCGGTGATGCAGACCTTTCATCCTGGTCTTCTGACTGCGACGTCGCGTTTGCCACTCTCCGTAGTCTGCTAACATCTCCTCCAATTCTTCGGCATTTCGACCCAACAGCTGCAACGGAAGTTCACACAGACGCTAGTGGGGTTGGTCTAGGCGCCGTCCTCGCCCAACGCAAGCCGGGCTACTCCGAATACGTCGTCGCTTATGCGAGTCGCACACTTACTAAAGCTGAGGCCATTTACAGCGTCACTGAAAAAGTGTGCTTGGCGCTAGTGTGGGCGCTTCGCAAGTTCCGCCCTTATTTGTACGGTCGCCCATTCGACCTGGTAACGGACCACCATGCACTTTGTTGGCTCGCCACATTGAAAGACCCTTCTGGCCGCCTAGCTCGGTGGGCACTGCAAATCCAGGAGTACGACATTCGTGTCATCTATCGCAGCGGACGCAAGCATTCTGACGCCGACGCCCTGTCGCGTTCGCCTTTACCTCCCGACTCAGCCTGCGGAACCACTGGTATCTCCATCGCATCTCTCGACCTCGACTCCTTTACCAGTGAACAACACAAGGACCCGTGGATCGCTTCTCTTTTTAACTGTCTTTCTGGATCGTCAACCACTGCGGTACCACGATCTCTCGGACGTCAAGCTGCTCATTTCGCCATTCGTGATCGGCTACTACACCGACGCAACTGCGCCCCCGAAGGTCGTAAGTGGATCTTGGTTGTCCCGCGCAGCTTGCGATCACAAATCTGCGCCTCCTTTCACGACGATCCCCAATGTGGTCATGCCGGAGTTTTCAAAACTTACGAACGCATTCGCCATCGCTTCTACTGGCGCGGAATGTATAATTTCGTTCGAAAATTCGTTATGGGTTGTCCTGACTGTCAACGTCGCAAATCACCGCCTTTCCACTCGTCCGGTGCGCTTCAACCGCTTCCGTGCCCTGCCAAACCTTTCGATTGAATCGGAATTGATCTCTATGGCCCTCTACCGACAACATCAGATGAAAATCGGTGGATTATAGTCGCTGTGGACCATTTAACACGCTACGCTGAGACCGCCGCCCTTCCAAGTGCCACTGCGCGGGACGTAGCATCCTTCATCCTTCATCGCTTCATATTACGACATGGTGCACCTCGAGAACTACTAAGCGATCGAGGTCGAGCCTTCCTATCAGAAGTCGTCACGTCTCTGCTTTCGGAATGCCATGTTGTTCATCGCAAGACCACGGCATACCACCCGCAGACTAACGGGCTCACGGAAAGATTTAACCGCACCCTTGGCGATATGCTCGCCATGTATGTGACATCCGATCATACTAACTGGGATCGCATTCTTCCATTCAATACGTTCGCATATAACACCGCGGCACAGTCTACCACTGGATTTTCATCTTTCTTTCTTCTTTATGGACGCGAACCATCCCACACCATCGATACTCTCCTTCCATACCGTCCTGACGCATCCGAATGCCCATCTGTGTCCGAAGCTGCCCGAAATGCGGAAGAGTGCCGTGAACTCGCACGCACCTTTACGTCTCGAGAACAACAGCGCCAGAAAGAAAACAACGTCGACTCTTCACAAAGCCCCAGCTATTCCCCGGGATCACTTGTATGGCTGGCTGTTCCTTACCAAACCCCCGGCATTTCCTCAAAACTCGTTCCAAAGTACGAGGGCCCATACCGCGTTTTGGAGCAAACCTCGCCGGTGAATTTTCTCATCGAGCCACTTTCCCCATCTGACGACATGCGCCGGCGTGGACGTGACATCGTCCACGTCGCCCGCCTTAAGCCATATTATAGCCCTCTGCCTCCAGACTCTTAGGTCACCAGGATGGCTCTTTTTTCAGTAGCAAACCCTTTTTCAGTAGCAAAGCCTTTCCGATGTCCACCCATGCAAAACCAGTACTATGCATCTACAGCGGCACAGCTGGCTTCACTGCATTGTTTTTATTCGTCGTCTACCTAAAGTTTCTTGTTTCACTTGCAAGCAAGTTAAAACTGAGACCTTTTTTTGCAGATGTCGACACCACGCTCGCTTGCTTCTTTGAACGCCTACTCTCGATTATTTATTTATTTATTTTATTTATTTCAATACCCTAAAGGCCCAATTGGGCATTACATAGGGGGGGATTTAAGTGAATACATACATTCAAGCAACATGAACGGAAAACAGAATACCAAAAAGTAACAATAAAAAGGACACAGCAAGTAAATCGAATCACAGCATCAAGTCAAGTACATTCACCAACATTAATCAAGTACATATTCATTAGTACAATAATAATGAAAACACTTGAGAAAATTACATCGAAGAACACTGAATAAGTATCGGGAGCAAAAACAGCAGACAAAACGAGGGCAATCAGACACAGGTCAGCCATGTTTTTCACTATGCAAATAGCCCTGAAGCATGGAGTTAAATATGGAAGGATCTGTTATTTCGGCGATGTTAGGTGGAAGAGAATTCCACTCGATTATGCATAATGATAATGGCGAATTTTGAAACTTCTTGGTCCTAGCAAAAATGGGAGCCACCTTGTGCGCATGATCGAGGCGGGATGAAGTATGAGGGGCTGGAAAGATATGAGACTGGGCGAAGGATGAGTTGCCGTGATAAAGTGAGTGAAAGAACGATAGTCGAGTATGTCGCCTGCGCATGGCAAGTGTGGTAAGGCTAAGGTCCGATTTTAGTAAAGAAACACTTATGTAACGCGAGTAGGATGATGAGATGAACCGAGCAGCTTTATTCTGTACCATTTCGAGCATGTTAGTAAGACCGATTTGGTGAGGATGCCTTATCCCCTTCAGTCATACATTTTAACAAAGTGCAGGAAAATTCCCACATATATTTTTTTTGTAAAAGTATGTCCCAGGGACACAAATAAAGAAAAGAAAAAAAATGTTTTTACTTTTGCCTAAGTTTTAGCACGTGTACACATATGTGTACATTGTGACTCAGTCAGCACACATGACTGAAGGCACAAATACATGTCTCAGACAATGAATTGGTTTATTTCATACAGAAAATGATGTTATTAGCACATGCTGTCTTTGCACAAAACCATTAAGATAAAGACATTGTCTCACTTGTTGTGGAAAGTGTAGAAACAGTCATTCGTCGCCGAAAGACACAGGAAGACATTGCATTTCCTGCACCGGACTCGCGTCCTTGACCTGCAGCCTTCCAACTTGCAACGCTGAGCAAAACTATTGCCTGTGTGTGCTGGCCAGTGGTGTAGGCCATCATACCGTACGGCATTTACAGGCCGAAGCTCAGCATTGTGCACTTTTCTCGGTGGCTCCTTGGCTTCGTTGCTTGGTCGACCGCGTTTCTTGGCACCATTCTTGTGAGACATGATTAGCGCTAATCCCACGTTGTTCTGAAAAGCTAAAAAGTCCTGGACTTTCCTGCGTGGGATGGAGTTGTCATTCGCGTCGGTCAGGTATTCTTGCCAGCTATTTACAAGAGCAAATGATGTAAAGTGAGAAATTACTCGCACTGGCCACTTTCTCGTTCGTTGTTTTAGTGGGTACAAGGATAGCAAGAAATCCATCTTGTCGACTCCGCCCATCGATTCGTTGTACTTGGTGATAATTTCTGGGCATGGTATGTCGACATGCTGCTTTGTGGACTCACTCCACCGCTTCACAGTTTTTGCCTCCCCAACACCCACAAACGTTGACGCAACATTCACGATGCCATTGTCCTGCCACCTTACAACTGTTACGTCACCTCCTTGAGTGACCCTGGCATCCATACTGCCGCGTCCTTCCTTTTTTAACACTTTGTCAGTCTTCAATGGGCATCCCTGCAATCTGTTGCTGCGGATAGTGCCAATGGCCCAAATGCCCATTTCTTTTAGCTCCTGGAGTAGCGGAATAGATGTAAAATAATTGTCAAAATACAATTTGAAGTTCTCTTGTTTAGGGAGACCTTCTACCAACCTCATGACAATAGAGCCACCAAGCCCAAGATGCTTGTGCTCGGCAGATGTGCCGGTACCTTTGCCTTGATAAATCTCAAAGTCATGTGCTACCCCACTCGAGCTGCACCGAAGAAACACTTTCACCCCTTCGGGGTTTGGCTTGTTCCGTACAAATTGTTTGGCCGCAACTCTTCCCGTGAAGGGGATCATTTGCTCATCGATGCTGTTTTTTTCAGTCGCAGGTAACTCTAAGCACCTCTTCCTTACAGCATCAAGGAGCGGTCGTACTTTCCAAAACTTGTCTGTACCAGTATGGTTTGCATCTGGCTCTGTGACGTGCAACGCTGACCGCAACCTGAAAAATCTGTTCACGCTCATGGCTTCCGACACGCTCTGTATTTGCGTGGCAGGATTCCAATACATTCTGATGCGTGGGAATTTCAGGGTTCCCATTATCATTAGCATCCCGAAAAACGTTTTCACTTCTTCTGGAGTTGTTCCCAGGATGGCTCCTCCTGTCTGCAGTAAGTAGATGTTCGTACAACGTGCAATTTCTTCAAAAATGTCGTCTGTGACGCACCGTAAGAAGTACTCAGGTGGTTCACTCACAAGATTGACATCAGTGTCACTGGAGCGATGAAATGTTGTGGGGGGCCGGTCAAATTCCGCAGTTGTCCAAACCACTTTCCTTTTTTGTCGATTGATGACTTCTGCTTGTTCATCACTGTTCACTAATCCGGACGGATGAGCATCACTGCCTGTGGTGCCGGCCTGCAAAATACAATTATTCCATTACTGCCCTGAAAAATGGGTTGCACTCCCATCCGCGCCTACCATTTTGCCACTGATCCACAAAAGAATAGCTCATGCCTACTCTAGGGTTACTGGCCGCAAAAACGAATACTTTTTTTGAAACCCAACTAAGCAGCACAGTACAAAAGCAAAGCAACGTAGACTAAGGTAAGTATTGAATTGGGATAGAAAAAACGAAGCCACAGCATTTCTACACTCACCAGCTGACTTGTATGTCCTTCCTCCTCATCGTCGTCGTCAGACAGACCAATGTCCGACGTGTTGCCATCGGCGATTCGGGACAGCAGCCTTTCAGCCCTCTCAGAATCAAGCCTCCCTCGGTTTGTCGCATGATTTCTCAAGTCTGAAATGGCGAAACACCCAAATATTTATTAGAAAATTGCCAACTACGAGAAACTCCAGCAGTCGGTCTGTGCCGCTTGGGGCACGCCATACACAATTGTGTACGCAAGATTTCACAATCAATTTTCTATCTTGAAATAATACTTCTAACACATTCTGCGGTTTTTCTGTGTTCCTTAGGTACAAAACAGCATAAAAAATCTAGACACTTGCCTTCTAAAAGTATCAATACTAAAGGAAAATTCAATTTTGTAAGGGACTTACCGGTATCACCGTAGAATGTGGTGGCATCCATTTTGGAAGTGGCTGTTTACTGCTTTATTTCTTGTCAACAAGAACAGATGGCGCTAGTAGTACTGCACAAAGCCCATACAACTTTTTACAACAAATATCGCGCGCGAAATTTGAATCAGAAGGAAGAAAAAAAATCAAAAGAATCGCGTACACGTATGTGTACGCCGTGACTGAAGGGGATATGATTGAAGCGTATTCTAGGGATGGCCGAATCAATGAATTGAAAGCGCGCAGTCTTGTGTCCTTATTAGTGAAATGCAAGCGACGTTTAAGGAGGCCGAGTTTCTTGAGAGCCTTATTAGTAGTATACTCTATGTGAGCAGTCCAGCTTAGATCTGAAGTGAGTATTACGCCCAGATACTTAAATGACGTGACTTTTTCTATTATCGAATCGTTTATTTTATAAGAGCTATAGCATGCAGAAGTGATATTAGTAAACATTAGGTGCTTGGTTTTTTCGACATTAATTTCCATTTGCCATTTGCTGCACCATTCGCCTAACCTGGTAAGATCCTGTTGTAGTTCTGCAACGTCATCTGTGCAAGTTATTTTCCTATAAACAACGCAATCGTCTGCGAAAAGACGAATTGATGATTTTATGTTTGATGCAATGTCATTAATGTATACTAAAAAGAGAAGAGGACCCAGCACACTGCCTTGTGGCACACCAGATGTTACTCGGGTAGGATGAGATATGTAGTTGTTAAGTTTAACTGACTGAGACCTGTTGTTAGAAATTCTTGTATCCATGCAGTCGTTTTCTGGTCGAGGCTGAGGTGACGTATTTTTAACATTAGCCGGTTATGGGGAACACGATCAAAAGCCTTGGAAAAGTCTATGAAAGCGCGTCGATGCAGATGGACATATGAAGAGCTGTGTGCAGGTCTGTCACGAGTTCGAAAAGTTGAGTCTGACATGATAATTTTTCTCGAAACCATGTTGGGTTTGAAGAAGTAAATTGTTACGGTTGAGGTGACGCATGACCTGGGAGTGTATGATGTGCTCTAGTAACTTACACGAAATGGACGTGAGTGAAATCGGCCTATAGTTGTTGGGGTGATTGCTGTTACCGGACTTAAAGATGGGTACCACATTAGCCAATTTCCAGTCATCTGGTATACAACCAGAGTCAAGGGATTGCTGGAAAATGAATGCAAGCAACTTAGCTGAATGTTGACAGGTTAATTTAAGTAGTTTGGCGCTGATGCCATCGGGGCCGGGACTGGTTTTAAGGGGAAGTCGACTGATAGCGTTAGCTACACCGTGCTCTGTTATTAGGATTGCTGGAAAAGGGTATTCAATGGGCAGTTGTGACAGTGAAAGAGAACCATTCAGTGGAAGTTCGTCAGTGAATACCGTAGTGAAGTGTTTGTTGAATTTTTCAGCGGAGTGTTCTACCGATAAGGTGCTGCCGTCTTCCCTCATTAATACTGCTGTTGAGTGGGTGCTTTTGGGGTTCACAATATTCCAAAATTTTTTAGGGTCCGTTTTCATGAGGTTAGGTAGCGTTTCGTTAAAGAATTTATCTTTCGCTTGAAAAATTATGCTGTGTGTTTCAGCTGAAATGTTTTCGTAAGCTTCCCAATCTCGGGGACAATTCGAGCGACTTGCTTTTCTGTAAACCCTTTTCTTCTTGTTCAGGGCGCGTTTTACGTCTCGCGTTAACCATGGATCATCTGATCTAGAACTTATTGTTAGTTTAGGAACACAGGTAGCTTCAATTTCTTTAAGTTTATCCCGGAACAAACACCAGTTTTCATTAGTTGTACGGTCGTCAAAGTATTCGTAAAATTCCGCTGCGAAAGTGTGTAGCATACTGTTCATTTTTGTTATGTCGGTACGCGCATAGTTCAGCAACTGTTTTTAATTTTTGATTTCCTTGCAGTAGGAAGTGAAACCAAGCAATAGACAACCCTGTGATCACTGATTTCTTCTAGCACGCGTGTGCTACAGATTTCGGGGCTGTTAGTTAGGACCAAGTCTAAAATTCGATCCTTCCGCGTAGGTTTATGTACAGTTGTGTTAAATTGTGATAAAGGAGCAGCTGAAGAAATCGAATACATTCAGATCGATTATTGTCATGAAGGGCAGACAGAGTGGACCAATCTATTTCTGGATAATTGAAGTCACCACCTAAGAATAAAAGCGAATTAGGAAATTTCTGTGTAACTTGTTCAATGGCATCACCAAGAAGTTCTGTAAACTCTGAATTGCTGTCGGGGGGTCGATAACAAGCGCCAATGACGCAAGCAACATGACCAATGTGACATGATTGATGCCCAGACTATTTCGAGAGGTGAGTCCACTGAAATTGGAGAGGGCTGGTATAATTTGTTTACCGCAACAACTACACCACCACCTCAGGAGCCGGTTCTATCTTTGCGGAAGATGATAGATAGATTACGCCCATGATGTCACACTGAATGCTTGCAGCGCACATTATCAGGCATGTCACGAGATATGCTACAACACTTCTTTTTAAAAGTGATGCAATGTCTACATATCAAACCCGGGCACCAAAGCCTGGAGGAAAAAAATGTCTTTGCAAAACGCAATTACTTCACACTTCTAGCACGGCTTTTATGCAGTGTTGCCAATTTAGCAATTTTGTACCTAAACTAGCTAATTTTAGACTCAACGAGCTACTAAATTTTTGTTTAGCTACGAGTAACTATTTTAGCTATTAAGTCAGAATCTAGCTCCAAATCTGGCTATTTCATTTTAGTCTAGCTGCAGTGTAATGACAATTTGTGGTTGCACCGTTGCGACGTATGCCTAGAGGCGTGCCCGTCGGTCACGGGCCCACGCGCTTTCAACCAGCGTCGGTGTACCGGTGTTTCGAGTAAAGGGTGCCCTCAGTTATTTGTGTTTGGAAACCAAAACTATGCATGCATGTCCTATGAGTACTCTAACACAAAAAATGGTAAGGTATACATGACATTTGGAAATTTCGCTTCTTTCTGGATGTTTTGGGATTTTGTTCGTGAAGTGTTTTCATGTGATTGTGACCTCTGAGTCTCCTCCTGGCACCTTCCAACCGTGGATGGTATTCCCGGCGTCACGTGATGTTTTTTCTCGTGATGATTCGGTGGTTCTAGAAAATCCCGACGCGACGGCGCTTCAAGGGCGAGTGGGTGTCTTCGCCGACTGTTCGCATATGACTGATCAGCGCCTGGCGCTGCCTCGCAGCTTTTGATGGTTGTTTTTTCACTGCACTGGGGTGTTTAACGCCGTCTTCTGCTGGTGGCGGCGCGCGCCGAGTCAAGCACTCTTTTGTGACACTCGGCCTTTTTTGTGAGTGCGCGGTGTGAATACTCTTTAAGGATGGTGTTACAGAAACCCGTACAACAAGACAGACAACAGCAAAGTGTACAAACAACGCTTCAGGGACTGCTGGCTTAGAGAGGAGATGTACGAGGAGTGGCTAATGGCAATGCCGGCGGACCCTTTCAAGGCCTTTTGCTAACTTTTTCAAATGTTCTATCCAGCAAAGAAGGCGGGCATTGAGAAGCACACTACGTCTGCAAAACACGTGGCACGTGTGCCAAGCGAGGGCTACAGCAGCGCACTATATCCGATGCGATGCCATGTGTAATTGCTTGCGCTGTATAGCGGGCACAAGCAACCCTTGCACTTTTGTCGCTGAGCACTGTGCCGTGAACACCATGTATGAGCTCGGGAAGCTTGTTAGCGGATTTTTCAAGATAGCCAGGTTGCCTCTTAAATTAAAATTCACCGCACAAAGTGCAATAATAAATAAAGAACATCCTTGGACCGCACTTCAAAAAATTGTTGTGGCATAATATTGGCCACCAAAAGTACAGCGTTCTGAATGACAAGTCGACCGATATGAGTGTCCTGGAGGTCCTTGGCATTGCCATAAGGTATTTTCCCAGTACAACGGCGAGGCTATTTCAACTTTCTATACCCTGCAAGATTGATTGAATGATATGTGGGGTTTAACGTCCGAAAACCACCATATGATTATGAGAGACGCCGTAGTGGAGGGCTCCGGAAATTTCAACCACCTGGGGTTCTTTAACGTGCCCCCAAATCTGAGCACACGGGCCTACATACCCTGCAAGAACTCGAACAGTGCGACGCTGAAAACATCACGGCGCTTTTAAAAGTATTGCGGTCCAAGGGTCTGAACCCAAAAACCTTTTGGCATAGGAGTAGACAACGCGAACGCCAAGACTGGTGCGAATAGTGGCGTATACACTCGTCAGAAAAATGAAATTGCTCATCTTATTATGGTGCGATGTGTTTGTCACTCCCTTAATCTTGCTGTTTCACATGCTTCGGTTGCCTTGTCAAGGAACAGAATTTCTGGTGAGGGAGTCGTACTGATAGTTTGTTCACTCCTCAACACGGAAACTGGAGTACTAAAGCTCATACCGTGAACTAAACAATGGACAAGCTCCGCTTACCATACCGCTAAGCTGTGAGGCGCGCTGGTGGTCAATACATGCGGCAGTTGACAGTATACTTTCCCATATGACCAAACTGAAGGAAGTATTTAGAAAGGCACAGAAAGACAAAAATTACTACACGGCAATGATGCTTCATGAATTTTACAGTGACCCCAGGAACAAGTGCTGGACTAGGTTTTAGCTGAAGTGCAGCGTGTCAACAAATCATATCGAGCGGAGAACCAAGACTCGATGAAATTGTTCGAAGATCTGATGATGCTTGTGAAGTCAACAGCCAATAAATTGTCCATACCAGTTTCCCGATACGACGTGTTAACAGTCGCTATCAACGAGCGTCTTGACCCTAATCCGTACTTATGTCACTGGTTTGAAACAGCACTCCGATACGCATGCTTGCCACACCACGATGTCAAAGAGCTACGCCTTCACTGTCGAGGTTTCATCATGGAACTATTCAGGAAGCTGCGTCAACGGCTTCCCGAAAACATTCAGTGCTTCCAAAAGACTTCTATCCGTTCTGTAGAGCACGCGCTAAAGCTAATACAAGAGCCAATTATTTAATTGTAATCGCAGTTCCTCCCTGTGGAAGCCGTGTACGCTTGCGAAACGCAGTAGAAAAACAAGCGGTACATAAAGTGGTGCTGTACAAACAGAACAGATAGTTTTTTGCAGAAGTAAGTTCTTACAAGAATGCGCATGGCGAAAACCCTTTCA